TCCTTCTGGGGGGTTTAGGGTTTAGGGTCCTGTTACGCTAGAGCTCATATGTTGAAAAGACGTTTCGGCTTAAAGCCCATACAAGATCTGGCCTTGGGGGTTGTTTTGAGTGCTGGTGTTACATGCTGCTGAAGACTATGATGGGGGCTCGAAGCCCTAAACCCTAAACCGTTGATGGGGGCTCGGCCACTTGGCCCTGTTCCTAAGCTTTTCCGTGTAGAGCAGAGTATCAAAGCACCCAGATCCGGAACTTGAGGGTCTGAACAGCACCCTAAACCCCTAAACCCCTAAACCCTGAACCCTAACCCCTAAACCCCTAAACCCTAAACCCCTAAACCCTAAACCCTGAATAGTCAAACGAAAGCTTTGTAGTGTTTCGGAATAAGGGTGCTGGAATTCTTGTTGATGACATAAATCCTGCAATACCTTAAGGACCCTAAACTATGGGAATTATGGTATACTCCTTATGATGGATATTGCAGGATTTATATCATCAACCGTAGCAGTCCTCATGTCCCTGGCTAGACTCATACTGTTATCAGCCCAATAGCGCTGTTCTAATCATGAAGGCGTGGTCTTGAATTTGGCGAAGTCTGGAGTACCGACGGACCCTCGGTTTAGGGTTTAGGGCTTTTTGTGTAACTTATAACCTTAAGACGCCTTGAGAACTTAAATCTGAACCCTGAACCCCTCCACCTCCTATCTTAGTTCCGCCGAGATCACAACTTGGCGGTGCGGCCGCTGCAGCATCCTTTGCTCCTGGGATTCCTTTTACACTTGAAGGATGAGGGAACTCAGGGTAGCCGTGATTATCAGGTGCACGTTCAAATCCTCCGTTAGAGTACAAATGTGCTTACTGGCTAAGTCTTCTGATCCTTTAAGTAGGGGGGTTAGAGGCTTTGTCATAGGGGCGTCTTACACAGTGTCCATAGTTTTAAGGGCTGGCGGCTTTTGGTTTTGTAGGGTTGTGAATTGATCCTAAGCTCTGTGGACTCATGTACTTAAACTAAGGTCTTGGGCCCAATGACCAGACAATCTAAGGCTTTCGGGCTATTGTGAGCTTTAAGCCTTTCAGGAGGTTGTGATAAGTAGGGGCATTCTTTAGTTTTCTACGGGCTTGAAGATTGCATAGAGTCTTGTCGGCGCGTTCGTGGGTTTTGGAGTGGGTTGTAGGCGCGACTACTGCCAGACTATGCTGCTATACTCGCACTACCAGCGTCGACGAAGGCTGCTGGATGATGACATGGATCCTGCTGGTTTCTGGCTGCCGGGTTTCACAGGCATCATCCGGTGAAGGGGGGGGGGGGTTATTGGTGTTTAGGGCTTTAAACCCTAAACCCTAAACCCTTAGCCCTAAACCCTAAACCCTAAACCCTCAACCCAAACCCTAAACCCTAAACCCTAAACCCTAAACCTTGGGCTTGGGAGGACTTCGCAACGTAGACTTTGGGGCGAAAGCTTGGATGTTTCGGGCTGACAGGCACAAAAACCTTCAATCCCGAAGGCGAAACCTGAAAGGAGCCCTAAACCCAGAGGGGAGTTCTACTGAGTTCTGAGCAGTGATTAGGAGCACTATGCCCTTGTAGCGCTATATGACTCCGTCATATTTTCCCAAGATGCTCATTTTCTCTTGTCTTATCCTCAAGGCCCCTGCAGTATGTAATCATGAGGGCTTTTAATATAGGGGCCTTAATAATTAGAATACGGTTTGGGGTATAGTATACTATAGTTATAGTAAGGAACCCCCAAGACCCCAGTCTAGTTATTAAGGCCCCGACATTAACCAAGGGCTCAAGGTCCGGAGGGCTGGAACCCAAGTTCAGCTCGCCGAATATAGGGCCCTTCATGCTCTTCCGGCTCCTTCGTATATGGGACTTTCCGAAAATAGGGGGTCCCTTATTTGGGGGTCCTTATAATAAGGATCCTATTCTTTAGGGTATGATATCAGGGTCCCCTATTTTCGGAAACTCCCATATAACTGCAGCATAGGGTACAAAACCCTAGTCTCACCACTAGGGCTCCTGTAAGGCTGGGCTCTATAAGGCGGGTTTTGGATGATTTTGGGGTTCTGTGGTTGAGGGGGCTCGGTTCGCGGTTTCGTGGGTTTGTGGGCTAAGCCCCAATCCCGGCAAGCTTAATATATATATATATATATATATATATAAAAATAAATAATTAAATATATATATATATATATATATGTATAGAGAGAGCGAGAGAGGCCTGAATAATTACCTTTATTATTTTTGGGAGCTCCTTTTAAACAGTTATAGCAGAATATACCCCCAAACCCTATATTGAAAGACATTCTAACTATTAAGGCCCCTCGCAGGCTGGCACCGCAATAACCTCGCAGCGGGTTGCCACCGCGGATGGCGCGTGCGCAAGATCGCCGGCGTGGCGGGTGGGCAGACGGACCTCGGTGCTGTAAATCTCGCTGCCTTCAGGGGGCCCCATGATTCAAAAAGGGCTGTACAATCGGAGAGAGGGCACCCTTGTGTCTAAGGCAATACCAGGAATTTATGGAGGAACCTTACAAGGGCTTTTGGATGGCGGCATGTTCAGAGGGCAGGGCCGGATAATGGAGATGCTTTATTTGTTTGTATCCCAGAGGATGTAGATGCACTATCGCAAGCCCCTCTTCATGAAGGAATTCAGTCCTGGAGGTCTGCCACTACTACTAATTACTAATGCTTAGGAACACAAAAATTCGGAGAAACCCTACTTTGAGGCTCATGGACCCCCATAGTGAAAGCCCAAACCTTAGCCCCCAAAGCCCAAACCTTCCCCTGGAAAGCCCATAACAGCAATAAGAGCCTTAGGGTAAACCCTAAACCATCCTCCGGGGAGAACCTCCGGTGAAATGCATTGCACTAAGCCCTGCAGCCCTAAGCTAAACCCCAAACTCGAAGGTACTTGGGTTTAGGATAAGCAGTTTGCAGTTGAGATTTTGGGCAGTTGCACCCTTAGGGAGTTGCAGGGTATATTGCTTAAGTAGGTCTAAGCCCTAGACCCCTAAGCCACTAAGCCCTAACCCCTTACTTGGAGGTTCATGGGTAGTTAAAAGTAGGGTTACAAGTAGGGTAATTACAGTTATAACCTATATTAGGGGACTTATAACTCCACTTATAACCACCCATGAACCTCCAAGTAACCCCTTAAACCCCTATAAACCCCTATAAACCCTAAACCCCAAACCCTAAACCCTAAACCCTAACCCCTTAAACCCCTATAAACCCCAGAGACCGAGAGGACCTGACCTTCTTCAACAACTCAGCGCACGCCAGTGGCTTCGGCTGGCACCTGAAGCCGCAGCCTTAGTGCTCCCAGGGCTTTTAGGGTTCAGGGTTTAGGGTTTAGGGTTTAGGGTTAAGGTTTAGGGTGGAGGATGTGGGGTTTAGGGTTTAGGATTTTGGGTCGGGTTTAGGGTCCCCAACAGAAAGTACCCTCAAAGATCCTAAGCCCCAGAAGGTCAAGCCTAAGACTTCTTGCATAGATTCGGCCCCTAAACGAAAGCAGCAGGTAAACAGAAGTCCAATCATGCGGTTTAGGGTTTGGGGTTTAGGGTTTAGGGTTGATCTTGTGCTTCCGATAGGAGGTCCGTAGCCTTTCGCGGCTCAGGGGGTACTACAACCTCTTTATTTATGTTGCTCCCACTAGGATACTAAGACAGTAGCAAGGGTTGTAGGGCTACCCCTTGAAATCGCAATCCCGAACCCACAGGCTCGAACTCGCCGAGAAGCAGGCCCCCAAAACATGTCAAGCCCCTACCCCTAGGCCCCATAGTACCCCTTTTTGGGGGTTACCTTATAGGATTCTATATATGAGCCCCAAAAAGGAACTACTATGGGGCCTATGGGTAGATCCTCAGGATTACCAAGGCACTAAAAGATTGAAAATCCTAGAAGAGTCCAGGCCCTCAACCCCAAACCCTAAGCTCTAAGCCCTAAGCCCTAAACCCAAAACCAAACTGAAAACCCTAAATCCTTGGAAAGCTTCCAGGCCACCGCATGCACCGCCCACGCTGAACGTCTTTCAGAACTTCACCGCTTTCCGGCATCTCGGCTTTTCTTCGAGTCGTGTTTTGTTGGTGTGTTTTGTGGTCCTCACAGGTGTCCATGGGAGTTCATGTTGATTCAGATGGCTTGGCTTTGTCGGGGTTTCTAAGATTGCACAAGGCTTTCCGGAAGTGTGGGGTTCGGGGACTGGGTGCCGAGCTGCCTTTTTCTCCAGATCTTGGTAGCTGGGGATTTGTAAAGAGCCTCACGACGATGGCGACTAGCTTGTCCCGGTATTGGGCTGTGCTTCGGGCTATGGGTTTTGGCATTTGGGGTTGGCGGGGGGGGGACGGGCAGTTGGATGAGGAACGCCGCATCATGCTTTTGACAGGTTCTCTATTGTAGTAGGGCGTTATCGCTCCAAGGAAGCACAGACTTAAATGGTGAGGCTTTCGGGCCGAAAGGCCATGCCATGCAAGGATGGTGGGTTGATCTGAGCTCGAGGGTAGGGTTTGATATGTTCAGCCCGCAACAAGGTATCCAGGTGCAGACTTCCCAATATGTCGGCACTGGCCTTTTCATTGCATTCTGAAGTCGTTCCTCCGCTAAGGGGTCCGCAGTCGCAGTTCCAACTCTTACTGCTGTCATTATTCCGGCAACTGTCTGACATCCGTGCCTTTCCTTCGTGAGTTGCCCAAACCATGCACGGATTAAGTGCTTGTCTGTAGTAGTTCGACTGACTAACCGCCCAATCCTAAAACCCGAAGCCCGCAACCCTCAACCCTCGCAAGGTGTGACACCGGCATGTTCTACTACGGAACCGGTAACATCCTGCACGATGACCACCGCTTCATCGAGTGCGGCACGGGCCACTTCATGAACCACCTCAGCCACGTGCTGATCATTAGCAACAGCTTGGCTTTGGGCTTCTGGTTTGGAACCCTCGGCCCTGAACCTAATACAGGGGTCTAAGAATTTACCAATCTACTTTGGCGTTCTTTGTTATAGTTATAGTACAATATACCCCCCCCCCCCCAACTCTATTCTAATTATGTAGGCCCCTTCTTTCACCTGCCATTTTCGACCGCCATAAGCACTAAATCCTAAACCCCAAGCCCTAAACCCTAAACCCTTAACCCTAATCCTACGCTTTGGACCCCTTGGATCCTGAAACGTTGGAATTCACACCGAGAACGCTGAGCCCTAACTCTTTAGACCCGAAGGCACTGGTTGAGGGTTTAGGGTTGAGGGTTTCGGGTTGAGGGTTTAGGGTTCAGGGTTGAGGGTTTAGGGTTCAGGGTTGAGGGTTTAGGTTTAGGGTGTGCAAACTCAGGTCTGCTTGACAGGTCGGATCGGACTGCATGATGAATCCCCCGGGGCTTGGAGTTTAGGGGTCGTGCAGCTCTGAACTGTCATGCAATATCCAGTCGACAAGTCGGAACCCTAAACCCTGAACTCCTGTCATGTTTTCCCTCTCAACTCAAGACATTAAGCCTTCATTAAGCGCAAGACCACCAACACTTGGCTCCCCATCCTTTCCAACGAAAGTCAGCTACCAGATGTCGGGCTGCGTGCCTCCTCTAAGTCGCAAAGCCCCCTCCCCCCCTCCGCCCAAAAACAAAAAACAAATACATCAAATGAAACTTGGTGCGAAACCCTCTGGGGCTCTGAAAAGTCTCCAGAAGCTCTGAGACTACGCCTCGCTTAAGGGCAGCTCCCAACCATTGCCTCTCCCAAGCGTGCCACTACGAATTACTATAGTGCTCATGAACACAAAAACCTGAAACCCTAAACCCGAAACCCCCAAACCCTCCGTAAAGCCCCATGCCCTAAGTTTTCCATGGAGCCCAAACTTCTCCATACAAAACCTATACCGACCCGAGACCCTAAACCCTGAACCCTAAAGCCCCTACACACCCTGAAGGCCCCCAGGTAATCAGCCACATACGCCACTAAGGCCTGAACCTGCAGAGTAGCCCACCAAAGAACCACAGAAGTACTCTAAAGCGTTGAGGGTTTAGGAGTTTAGGGTTTTTGACAAAAAGAAGGCCAACACTTGCAGGCCTTGCTTCCTTTAGGGTAAAACCTACAAGCGAACCTCAGCAAAGACGTGGAACCAGAGATCCTCAGGTAATGGGCTGCATACTCCTCCATTCTACCACAATCTCGTTCTTGTCGGCAACATCGCTCCAGAAGCTACGACTGCCAGGAGCACTCCAGGGTTTAGGCTAGGGCTTGGGGTTTAGGGTTTAGGGCTCAGGGCCTAGGGTGGTTTAGCTTTGGGGTTTAATGGGTTCTAGGGTGTAGGTTTTGAGGGGCTCTGCAGTAGCACCCTTGAGCCAAAAGCAAAGGATGGCCCATGAAACTGAGCAGGTTTCTGGTTTTGGTGTCCAGGCTTGAGACGTCGGGTCTGCTATAGACACCGTCAAAAAACACCACCTTTTGGGGGGTTCCTTAGTATAGTATAGTTACAGTATAAGAGAATATCATAGACCCCAAAATACCCTGTTCGAATTTTCAAGGCCCTAAACCCTAAACGCTAAACCCTGACCCCGAGACCCCCCAAAAGCAACCCTGTTCTAGTTTTTGTTTGAAGGCCCCAAACCCTAAACCCTAAACCCTGAACCCTGCCCGCCCCCAATAAAACCCTGTTCTCGCTTTTAAGGCCCTAAATCCCAAAACCCTAAACCTTAAACCCTGAACCCTAAGCCCTGCACCCCCAAAAAGCTCCGTTTTCAGGCCCTAAACCCCAAGACCCTAAACCCGCAACCCTAAACCCTAAACCCTGAACCCCTAAAAACCTTGTTCCCGTTTTTAGTTAGGGCCCTAAACCCAACCCCAAACCCCCTCAACCCTAAACCCTGGACCCTGAACCCTGAACCCTAAACCCTAAACCCTAAACCCTAAACCCTGAACCCTAGACCCCGCCCAAAAGAAGCCCTGTTGTCGTTGTTAAGGCCCCTTGGGGTAGATCATCTCTGGAGCTTGGCTTCGGGGTCTTGGTTTTAGGTTTTTAAGGCTTGAGGGTTTTAGGGTTTAGGGCTTTAGGGCTTTAGGGCTTTAGGTTTTAGGGTTCAGGGCTTTAGGTTTTAGGGCTTTAGGGTTTTAGGGTTTTCGGGCATTAGGGCTTTAGGGCTTTAGGGCTTTAGGGCATTAGGGCTTTAGGTTTTAGGGTTCAGGGCTTTAGGGCTTTAGGGCTTTAGGGTTTTAGGGTTTTCGGCTATTAGGGCTTTAGGACTTTAGGGCTTTAGGGTTTTAGGGCTTTAGGGTATTAGGGTCTGGGGTTTTAGGGTTTAGGGTTTAGGGTTTTAGGGTTCGGGGTCGTGGTCTTAGGGTTTAGTGTGTAGGGCTTTAGGGTATTAGGGTGTAGGGTTTTAGGGTGTAGGGTTTTAGGGTGTAGGGTTTAGGGTTTAGGTTTTAGGGTTTAGGGTTTAGGGTTTTAGGGTGTAGGGATTTAGGGTATTAGGGTTTAGGGTTTAGGGTTTCAGGGTTTGGGGTTTTAGGGTTTAGGGGTTTAGGGTGTAGGGTCTCAGGGTGTAGGGTTTAGGGTTTTAGGTGTTGGGGTCCAAGGCTGGCTTGTTTGCCAAGAAGTCCAGGTCTTTGGTTTCAGGTCCACCTGAAACAGGATCAGGGCAACTAGTGAGTTGAGTCAATATAGGGGCCTTAATAAATACCTATACATTTTGGGGGTTCCATGTTATAAGTATAGTAGGTTATACTCCGAAACCTTATTTTAATTATTGAGGCTCCTGTATTACAAGCTGAAGCCGTTCAACCCTGAAGCCACGGGGACTTGGCAAGCGGGGATAGCTGGCCTCGCCATTTTAGAAACCTATAACCTTGCTTGCGAAGTCGCCTGGTACCAAAAGTATAATAAATATAAACACAATAATAGCAGAAATAGTATGAATGCTAGACTAATAATCATGACAAGAAAATAGTGGTATCAAAGCAGCACTAATCATAACGATCATCAGCAGCTTCATATTCTAGGGTTTTGGGGGTTGAGGGTTTCGAACCTAATGGCTGCAACTGGCAGGAGCGGTTTGGGCATCAGGGGCCCGAAAGACAACGAGCACCTAGACCAGCTTTGAGGGAGAGCTTGAGTGTTTTGTGTGGCAGTGTTGGTGTGGAGTTTGTGGCCCCTGGGTTCCGACTAGTCCGGGACGTTAGTTCAGGCATGTGAAGGTAGACTCTGAAGGGATTGTCGTGTAACCTGTGCATAGGCATGAGGCTTCAGGGTCTTGTGTGGTATTGTTCTCTTTTCTGTTGCGGTCAGGTGGCGTAACAGTCTAGGCCTTGTTCAAAGGTGATCTAAGGAGGGCACCGATTAGGGTCCTGATGAAGGAACCACGTCTGCTAGTATCATAGTATCCCGCGTCCCCTTGTATGGTCCCTACATGCATTAGACCCAGAAGCCCTAAACCCTAAAACCTAAACCCCAGAACCCAATTAAACCCTAAACCCTAAAAGTTAAACCCTCAACCCTAAACCCTAAAACCTAAACCCTAATCCCCAAAACCTAAACCCTAAACCCTACAATCTAAAGCTTTCATAGAAACCGTGTTCCAAGCATCGAGGCCCCACGTCATGTTATCCCTGGATTCGACCACGGGCTTCTGAAACTCCTTCGCGGGAGGGCTTCCAACAACCGCCTAGGGGCCTTAATATTTCGAATAGGGTTTTGGGTTCCTTTAAAGGGTTCCTTAAAGGGTCTTTAAAGGCTGCTGTGAGGGTTTGGGGCCTTCATAATTCGAATAGGGGAATCGCCAAAACCCTATTCTAATTTTTAAGGCCCCTATATTAGTATAAGTATAGGGGCCTCAGGCGAAATATGAGTATTCCTTAGGGCTTCTTGCTTCAGGTTTTGTATTTCATACCCCAGAAACTTGTTCCGTATATCTGAGCCTCTATTTACGGCCCTCTGTTTCAACCTTAGTATTTTTTTACCTCAAAAACCTATTCTAATTATTGAAGCCTCAGTACCGAAAACGCGAAATTAGGAGTCTCCTGCCCGATCATGTATCTTAAGGAGAGCATTGCGCGTAACGCCCAGCCAGAAGCCTTGAGGTGTAGGGATAGGGTTTAGGGTTTAGGGTTTAGGGTTTAGGGTTTAGGGTTTAGGATATCTATTATAGGAGCGTTAAAATAACTACCAATGCTATTTTGGGGGATCCCTATTACAATTGTAGTATAGTATACCCCAAAACCCTATTGTAATTATTAAGGCCCCTATATATGCTGCTCTGGTTCAGATACCATCGAATAGCAACATGGCTAGTTTTTTGCGTACTACTGCACATGCAGGAGCCCTTCCGTATCCCAGAAACCATAGGGACATTAGTAAATGATGCCAACATTCCTCATGTTGGTTAAAGTATGATGCAGGCCAAAACCCAGGTTTGGTTTTGCAAGCACCTACATTGCATCAGAGGTGTTAGACTCTCCGAAATTAACCGCTTCGAGTGGATCCAACTCAAGGTATAGCCACGGGTCCTATCGACAGTTGAAACAGACTCCGCACCTTTAGCCGTAAACCCTAAATCCTAAACCTTAACCCTAAACCCTTAACCCTAAACCCTTAAACCCTTAAACCCTGAACCCTAAACTTTGGAGCAAGGTACTTTTACGTCTCCGGCCTCACGGTGATAAACTACTTCGAGTCGCCCGTGCTCAGAGGCCGGATTCCAACCATGGAGTGGGCGTCTGGGTGTTTCGTTTAGGGGTCAGGGGAGCGGGTTCAGGGTTTCAGCAAGATACCCGAAATCCTGGATGAACCCAACATAGCCTGAGCGTAAGATCTCAACCCTAACTAAACCTGCAAGTCTGAACCTGATACCCTGGCGCACCAAACCTCTGCGACTCTGACAGGCACGAACATGGCCTTTTCAGTTCAAGCGTTCAGTACCCTCCACCTTTGATGGGGAAGTGGGCAAGCAACACTGCAATAAGCAGAACACATCATCCAATGATCTCTCCGACAACGTCGCTTGTTCAACAGTCCCGCACTCTACAACTCGCGACAAGCAAGGGCAGGGTCTAAGACTTGACCTGTGTAGTTCCGCTTAGAGCAGTACGGATGCCTTCAATGTATAGTGTCATAAGTCATAATCTTATTACTTTAGTAAGATTTGGCTCCACTTATCAAGATTCGAAAGTGTAGGGTCGCCACAGGCCCACAAACCCCCAAGTCTCGTCGCATGCTCCAAAACGGGAGCCGAAGTCGGCATCTTGCACGGTTAGAGTTTGGGTCTGAGGTTTACCCTAAGGCTCTTATTGCTGTTATGGGCTTTCTAGGGCAAGGTTTGGGCTTTGGGGGCTAAGGTTTGGGCTTTCACTATGGGGGTCCATGAGCCTCAGGGTAGGCTTTGATACTGTTGATGATGTAAACCCTGCATGACCCTAAGGACCCTAGACTGTGGAAGTTAATTATTCTAGTTTCCTTCTTACGAGTAATGTAGGGTTTATATCATCAACAGTAGTATTCTGTGTTTGGGTTTTAGGGTTGTTTGGCGTTCAGCTTTAGGTTTTAACATCCTCCTCGCCAAACCTACGTAGAAAAAGCAATCGGGGAACAGGCCTTGATAATTAGAACAGGGCTTCGGGTGCATGTTCTAGTAGAATTTGCTAAGGAGTCCCTGCGGAGTATTCTTGCTGTCGACCTCCTTTTGTTGCCTTACAATGCTGCAATTCGAATCCCTAAATCTAACATCCAGAACCCCTAGCTCGTTCCCTCAAAGGCTGAAGCCGTAAACCCCCAAAAGGCTGCTTCGAGACGACCTGCACCATGCGCTTTGAGAGAGCCACGTGTCTTGGCTCTCTGCACAGAAATCCCTAAGGGTCCATGTACCCAAATAGTATATACTTTGGCTGGCCTTAAAGTAGTCCCTATAGAGGTACTTTGGGGCCAAAGTATGTACGAATTGGGTACATGGACCCTTAGGGAATGTGCGTCTACAGGTTTCCTTAAACACATGAACCCTAGCCCCTAAAACCCTAAACCCCAAACCCCTAGACCCTATATCATACCCTAAATGCCCTAGGCCCTAGAACCTAAATCAACCCTAAGCCCTAAACCGCCCTCCACCCCTAGGTTGATGATATGAATCCTGCATTACCCATAATAAGGAATATACCATAACTCCCATAGTTTAGGGTTTAGGGTTTAGGTTGCCCATAGTAAGGAATATACCATAACTCCCATAGTTTAGGGTTAAGGGTTTAGGGTTTAGGTTACCCATAGCAAGGAATATACCATGATTCCTAGAGTTTAGTCTTTAGGGTTTAGGAAGGAATATACCATGACTCCCATAGGTTAGGGTCCTTTTTTTGGTCATGCAGCCTTTCTGCCATCAACAGCAGAGGCCTAGCCTTCTTGGATCCATACCCTAAACACTAAACCCTAAACCCTAAACCCTAAACCCTAAACCCTAAACCCTAAACCCTAAACCCTAAACCCCAACACCCTGAAACCGAAGCCTCAGCTCCGAAGTTCGAGAACCCAGTGCTCTGCCCATAGGCCCCATAGTAGTTCCTTTTTGGGGTTACCTTATAGGGTTTAGGGTTTAGGGTTTAGGGTTTAGGGTTTAGGGTTTAGGGTTTAGGGTTCTATATATGAACCCCCAAAGGTAGGCCTTTGGGACATTTTTTATATGTTCCCTTATTGGGCTCAAGAGGATCTTATTTAGGAATATTTTTCGGAGGCTTCGAGGGGCCAACCTAGTATAGAAGCTTAAATCATTGCCAATAATACTGTTCGGGTTTAGGGTTTAGGGTTGAATCGTTACCAAAACTACCCTTACCAATACTGCTTCCAGGGTTTAGGGTTTAGGGTTTAGGGTCGAGTAGTTACCAGTATTACTTTCCGAATTTAGGGTTTCTGTTTAGAGTTTAGGGTTTAGGGTTGAATAATTACAAATTTTTCTGTTAGGGCTTTTGGCTATAATCGCCCAAAGCCCTATTCTAGTTATTAAGGCCCCTACATTAGAACCCTTGTTCAGACATCTTACATCAGACAGCACGAAATCCCCAGACCTCCCGAATCCAGAGGGTTGGTTTTACTGCCATGATGGAACTAAGTCCCAAAAAAAGACCACCCCAAATATGGTTTTGGGGACCTTTTTCCATCATAGTAGCATATATGGACCCTCTGGGGAAAAAACCCTAAAATCGAACCCCTGAACCCCGGAGCCGAGCCCCGAAGTTCTGAAAATACACCCGAAACCTAAAGGGTTTAGGGTTTCGGGTTTCGGGCCAAACAAGCCCTCAGCCCAAGACCCTATAGATCCTTAACCCAAAGCCCTCTAAAGTTTTCAGACCGGAGGTGGTGGAACTCCACGCAGCGCACCTGGAGCACTCCGCGCCAGTCTGGGAGACTGGGATCTAAGAGGTTTCTATTTGCTCTTTCGGTTTGGGCGTTTTAGGCTTTCAGGTTTACGCGTTTACAGTTGTAGGCCTGGGGCTTCGGGTTTAGGCTTGTCGGGCTTGATTATGCTGTACAGTTTCAGGCCTTGGTATGCTTTGGTTTTGGGCTTTCAGGACGACGCGCTTAGAGTTGCACGCCCTCGATTATAAAAATTAGGTTTTGGAAGTTTACGGATTTAGAGTTGTGGGCCTTCACTATTGGCATTTGGCATTTTAAGGCTGTAGTGGATTTACTTCGGTCGGGCTTCACACGATTGCATTGCAGTATCGTGCCTGAGGGTTTAGGGTGGCATGCTGTTGAGCTTTGGGGTCTTGCGGGGTTCCGAGTTTCGGGTTTTACGGAAGTTGAAACTGCCCCAGTTGCTGATGTTTTCCTGCATGAATTTCCACTCCGTCAAGGCCACTGTTTACCAATACCACCGTCTGACCGTGGACACTTCTATCTAAACCCTACCCCGCCACACCCCCAAGCCCTAAGCCTGAAGTCAAACCCCAAACCAAGTTCACCCTTAAGCTTCAATTCCCTCAAGCCCAACATGCTGTACTCCAGAAGCCAAAAAAGCAACCCTTAACCCTTGTTGGAAGCCTAAATGATGAGCAGCAGTATTCCTTAGTTCTTTGTTGTAATTATACGAGAATGTACCTGAGAACACCTTATTCCAGCTAATGTAGGGGCCTAAATATTACCTATACTATTTTTTTTGGGGGGGTCCTTATTGTAATCATAGTATAATGGACACCAAAACCCTATTCATTATTAAGGCCCCTACAGTATTGAGGCCCGTATCTTCACCGCTTATTATGCCTTAACCGCATTGAAAAGCCAAAGGATATTCTGGGACCTCGATGGCTCCCTTACGGGGTATCCCAATGGCTTCGTGTCCCTGGACTACGAATACAACCATTTCCCAGGCCGAGCTACCGAAATTCCATGGTCGGTTTAGGCCTTCGTAGGTTTCTGGATTCAGGTTTGAGGATTTCGGTACATAGTACAGACTGTGGCCGTAAGTAGTCCCTGTATAGGTTCGTTGGGGCGAAAGTCTATACTATTTGGGTACATGGACACTTAGCCTTTGGGTAAGGTCATGTCTTAACCTTTGCAAGGAGTGATTGGTGTTATGAGGGTGTTAATTCCGGAACACTGTTTGAGTTACTTACCATATTGCTGAGCCATCTCTTCTGTTGTACTGTCTGTGTCCCTATGACGAAAGTTTAGCAGCTACAGCTTGTCTGAGCTGTGCATGGAGGTCTCTGTCACCATTCAGACGAGCATGGAAATGGCCTTGTGTGCGGTGCTGCAGATGGATCTGTGCGGGTGAGCAACTTGTCAATGGTCTTGCGGTGCAGGCTGGAGGTTACGTTGACGGGATAAGATAGGGGCCTAAATAATTACCAATACCATTTGGGGGATTCCTCCTAATAAATATAGTATAATGGTCCCCAAACCCTATTCTTTTTCGTAAGGCCCCTACAGTATACCGTATAACCATGGGGTCATGACTGAAGCTGCTTTGCAAATATTGGCCTGCTTAGGCTTCAGGACATTATCAGCGAGCGGACGCAGGCAGAGATAAATTCAGATGGGAGTTTCAACAGACACGACCCTTTCTTATGGCTTCTGGTTGAATAGCGAGGCGCATAGTATTGGTTCCTGAAGGAATGAGTTTGGAGGTCTAATTAGTCAGCCACGCTCTCCCATGTCAGTCCCTCTCAGAATCGTAGTGGAATACTTCCCGGAAGCCAGATTCGGAAGAACGAGGTCCCTAACTATACCGAAACCCCCCACCTCTTGTAGCAACTCACACACATAGAGCTCCTTTTCAAGAATTGTAAGGCCCTGCTACTTGGAGGTTCATGGGTAGCTATAAGTACCCTACTATAGGTTATAACTATAGTTACCTTACTTTAGACCCCTTATAGATCCCTTATAGAACCCTCTTGTAGATCCCTTAAAGGAGCCTTATAACTACCCAAGTATCTATGAGGAATCGGGCCCGGGGTTTTCGCAATACTCCATCCAGTGCCCCGACCGCTACAGGAGGACCCGACAGGGCAAAACGACTGGGCTGAGTCAAGCTTCCGGGCTTTGGGTTCTTAGGCTAAGATAGGGGCCTAAAGAATTACCAATACTACTTGTTTTTTTTGGGGGTTCCTTATTATAGTTATAGTCTAAAATGCCTATTCGAATCATTATGGTTATAGTTTAAAATACCTCAAAAGCCTATTCTAATCATTGAGGCCCCTACGTTACCAACCCTAAGGGTCCATGTGCCCAAACAGTATATACTTTGTTATCTGGAGGAGGGCTCCCAACGCTCTGTCCTTGAAAGGGAGCTTTTCAGCAGCCTCCACCTGAGGCTGGCACCCCAAACCAGGATCCCTAGAGCGAGATAACTTGAACCCCAAGCCCGAAACCCCAAACCCTAAACCCTTAGCCTTAAACCTTCAAGTTGAAATCCAAACCTCAAAACCTTTGAACCTTGAACCTGACTCTCTCTCAATACCCTGTAACCCCAAACCAGAAATTATTCAAGCCCCAAGACCGAAAGCCCTAATTCTTAAACAATACATCGTAAATATTTAAGCCACAGGCACCAACACCCGGAGATGCGAGCCCTGTTTAGGGTTTAGGGTTTAGGGTTTGGGGTTTAGGGTTTAGGTTTATACATGCTAAGCCTTATATAAGCCTTAAGCGTAAGCCCTACAGTCTTCATCCGAAGCCTCAGACCCCAAAGCTGCTGGACAAACGAAGCGGTTTAGAGTTTAGGGTTTAGGGTTTAGGGTTTAGGGTTTAAATTTAGGGTTTAGGGTTTTGGGAAAGCCTTCACCCCAAACCCTGAACGGCCCTAAAGCCTAGACTTAACCCAGGAAGGCTCTTGGTGGACCGCCAAGAGCCATGGCAGCTCGATGGGAAGGACATGTTCGTCCAGACATCTGCAGGCCGGGGTTCAACAGGGCGGCAGAGAGTCAGGGTTAAAGGGTTCGGGGTTTCGGGTTGAGGGCTTAGGATTTAGGGTTTAGGGCTTAGGACATCGGGTGTAGGGTCTAGGATCTCGATGCAGGGCTTCGTGAGCCTTTGAGTGACAGGGCTTGAGAGCGTCTGCAGTTTGAGTTGGATTGGTGTCAGCTACGGGTCTTCTAACAAAAAGCTGCAAGCCCTAGAACCCTAAACCGTCCAAACCAACAGATCTTCGTGCCGGGATCAGACTGCCTCAAGGACTCTGAAAGCTTAGTTTTTTGCTGACGATCTCCGTAGACGGAAGTGTACTTCCAATGGTCACTGCTTTAGGAGGACCCGTAGATTCCCTAGGCCCAAATGAAGCCTGAAACCCTCATCCGCTACATCCGAAAAAGCCCCCAACCCCAAATTACATCTTGAAGCCCTGTAAAGCTCCATAGATATACCCTAAACCCTAACCCCTAAACCCTGTAGATATACGCCTAAATAAGTCCCAGAACTGCCATCCCTAAAGCTCGTCAACCAAGCGTGAGGCTCGCCATAGCTTCAAAAACACAGGAAGTTTTGATTTTAAGGGTCCATTTTAGGGTTTACGGCTTAAGGTTCAGGTTGTAGGGTTTAGGGTTTAGGCCCAAAAAAGTATATACGTTGGTCCCAAAGTATTTATTCTTATATAGGGATTACTTCAAGGACAAAGTACTCTGCAACTTGGGTGTATGGACCTTTGTACCTTTAGGGTTAAGCCTTAAGCCCTAAACCTCGCATCTTCAGAACTCTACAGACCCCAAAACCTGAAGCTAGAAACCGCCAATCCACGAAGCCTCCGCGACAGGTTCTGACCAGGTAGCCTATGACGATCTCAAGCCTCTTGGACGGTGTTGGGTTGCGGGTGTTCGGTTTCGGGTTTGGGTTTTAGGGTTTAGGTTTTTTCGGGTTTGGAGTATTATCGGGTTTAGGGGTTAAGGTTTCGACATAAACGGCTCCTTTGTAGGCTGGGCTCAGTACTAAGGATGCTGCAACAAATTGCGGTCTCTACTCGGGACTTCTTTAGTCTGGAGACTCGTGGGTTTCCGGGTTTGGAGCGAAAGGTCTGAGATGTCCTAAAGTAGTTCCTTTTTGGGGGGTTCATATATAGAATCCTATGAGGTAACCCAAAAAAGGAACTACTATGGGGCCTATGGGTAGATTCTGCACCGTTTTGGGTTTGGCCTCTTTAGCTCGGAGTATTGCAAATAAGAAATGGGGTTTAACAGATACGAGATGCAAGCCGGTGCTGTGCGGATTTACGGCTTTGTGAAATTCTACAGAAGTGCATTTGAGGAGCTGACTTTCAAGGTTGTGTAGGTCCTGAGGTTTGGAGAGAGAGAGAGAGAGACAGAGAGATAGAGATAGAGATGGACATAGAGATAGAGATAGAGATAGAGATAGAGAGCGAGCGAGAGAGAGACAGGGAGAGAGGGAGAACTCGTACGCTGCATATCATGTACAGAGCTCGTTGACGGTTCAATTCGCGTTGGACCTACACTGACAACCCGATTGCGGCGATACAGTAATACATGCCGCTTGGGCGCCGTATCCGCACGCCGCCTGCGATTTCATAAAGTCGATGCTTGATCACTCTGCATGGGCGGCAACAATGTTACACTGTCGCTTCAAAAAGACATGATAATCTATCACGCCGTATGTTCGGACATGTCACTGTGCTTGAAGGAACTGAGTGCCGTTTGTTGGGAAAGCTTTAGACATGACAGGCAGACTTTTAAGTTTGAGGTTGTCCTAAAAAAGAGCTGGATTCGTGTGTGCAGCAATCTCAAATACCTGGTTGAAGCTGTTGCATGAGCAGCTGCAGCTTCGAATCCCCGTGCGTGCCATGTACCTTGTCCATTCCCAAATCGGAACTTGCGTCACGGGTTCTTGAGCTCGTCGAAGTTTCATATTTGGGCGGCTACTCCTGCATGTACGTGATTGTTTGAAGTCTCGCTCCCTGATACCACTACACTATGTATCCCCAAGCCTTATCTTGTCATGCGGCCCCTGGATAGCTGGTTTGGTTGCTGGGGCAGGAACAAGCTCCCAACCACAGAAACTGACGAGACCGCGTCTGTCAAACTGATGAAGCATTTTTTTGCAAGTGGTGCAGAATCGTACACATTGCATCGAATTTAACAAGGTGTAAGCCATAAACCCGCAAAAGCAATTCGATAGGCATTTCAATTTTCCGGTGTATGTTTTTTGCAACATCAAAACCGCTTGCATTGCACACCTCATCAGAGCCTCGAACCGGATTACAGCCCGGCACGCCCGACATGAAATTTGCTGAATAACGGTTGTAACACGGATTTTACTTTGACATTCAGGACCTTATATGTACATATCACTTACATATCATATATAGACAGACGTTGTTCTAACTATAAACCTGGGGTCTACATAGAAGGATTACGTTACATGCTTAAACATACCGAAAGCAATTATTTTGTTCATCGGGTGTCTACCTTACGGACGGAGGTTGGATCGAAGGCTTGCGGTTCACAGGATGGGCGAAACAAAGGCCTTCATAGTGTCCCGAGGATAATCGCCATAGACTGCCTGTTTTTTTTAACGTGGTCCGTTAATTCAGCCCGTAATCTCAAAATCTAAGCTTGGAGTTGGGATTGTTTGGTTCAGACCCGCGATCCTAAACCTTTATCGAGAGCCATGTATGCATGCATGCATTTAGGTATGTATGTATGTATGTATGTATGTATGTCTGTATGTATGTATGTATTCACGTGCACGGCGATGTATGTGTGTTTGCTTGAGTGTGGGTGTATATATTTATATGTATGAACGTATGTATGTGTGCATGTATGCATCCATGCATGACTGTATTCATGCATGTACTTGTTCAGATATGCAAGCACATCACGGGAAGGAAGTTTGTATCTATGTTTTATGTGCTCTCATGTGCTTGTGTACGTCTGTCTGTATGCGCACAGGTACACACACGTGTGTGCATGCATGTGTGTGTGTGTGTGTGTGTGCGTGTGCGTGTGTGTGCATGCCTGTTTGCATGTAATGGGGCATGTTTGCATGCATGCGCGTCTGCCTGTTTACATATATGCATGTATGCATGCATGTACGAACTCTCAAAGGCTTCGCGGTTGGCCCGTGGTGGTCGTGGAGGGGGAAGTCTTTGACCTGAGGCGGGCTTGTGTCGTCTAGTAACAATGCCTTTGAAGGACATCTAAACCCTACTGTAAATTAAACCTTCTCGGACGTTCCGGATATCAGATTCCTGGCTTCAGGGTTCGAAAGGACGAGGTGAATCTTCAGGGCTTAGGGTTGAGCGTCGAGCAGCACAGGGCTGTGGATTAATTTAGTTGTAATTTGTAATGGTGATGAAAGAATCCAGAATATTAAATCTTATGCTTCAGAGCGCCTCGTTATGATGAAGATACTACAACCCTAAAATCGTGTTCGAAGAATTCAGGCCGCTGAGGTATCTTGTTTGTCGACGATTGCATGCCAAATGTGCAATTCCCGAATATGAGGGCTGGCTTTCAAAGGCACTTATAGGGGGGGAGTTACCCATAGGCCCCATAGTAGTTCCTTTTTGGGGTTACCTTATAGGATTCTATATATGAAGCCCTAAAACGAACTACTTTAGGGCCTATGGGTATATGCATCCTTACAGGTTCTGCAACAGTGCCCTTGGTTGTTTTTTGGAGTTGCGAACGTAATGTGGGGGATCCTTTGATAAGGGCTTCCTGTCTAAACACGGTGTCAAATTTTCGGCCAGTGTCCTCGGGAGATGCTTTTCGCTGTCTGAAACTCAGATGTGCCCTTTTAAAATTTGTCAGAGGGAGGATAGGTGAACGTTCGTGTGCGGGACACTCTTTTGTGAGCTGCTTGCAGTGTTCTTGCTTCACAGTTACCAGGAAAGCAGCCTAGCTAGTTTGCAGCCCATGCTCCAGGGACCTATGGTAAGTATAATTATGGCCGAATGCTTGGACATTGCATCCTCGTTTCCCCTCACAGTCGCAACATATTTAAAGTAATGAAGGCCGCATACGGACTCTTTAAAAGATCCTTCTTTGAGGTTGAGTGGTTCCTTTGAGTTTGAGTGGTTCTTGGAGCTATACCATCCCGCATGTAGTGGTTGTCAGAGACTTAGAGTACACGATTTAGGTGCAATAGACGCAGGCACTGATTGTTGGGGGATGAAAGGTGAAGGTCCCCCAGGTAAACCCCCGTCCTCCGGAGACCCTGACAACTCTTTCCGTGAACCAGGACCTATAACTACCCATAGGCCCCATAGTAGTTCCTTTTTGGGGTTACCTTATAGGATTCTATATATGAACCCCAAAAAGGAACTACTTTAGGGTCTATGGGTAAAGAAGTCTTAACCAAGCAAAACCCGAAAATCCCGATGCAGTAATTTAAGGCCGGAAGACCTCGACACCCTGGGTTTAGGGTTTAGGGTTTAGGGTGCATTTTCTGGAGGGTGGACGACCCGAATGACTTCCAGCGGTTGGCGTTCCAGTACTCCATGCGCAACTACGTCGTGGAGGATAGCTTTGTGTTCACTTATACCTATACGTTTCGGGGCAACCGAACCGCAAAATCCCAAACCTCGAAAGCAACAAACTCTGCACAACACCCTCAATCCTAAAGCTGTGACACCCGCATAGAACACCATAAAACCTTGCGCAGGTATCCCTTAACCTTTCGGGGGTTGGGTTTTTTTAGGGTCTAGGGTTGCAGGATAGCCTTTGGATCCTGTAGGATACTGGACAGATGAAGCTGTTCTTAACCCGCAACGTCAAGCTAAGAGTTCAGGCTTAGGGTTTTGGGTTTAGGATTTAGGGTTTAGGATTTAGGCTTAAGGTTAAAAGCTTAGGGTTAAGGGTCGAAGGTTCAGGCACAGGGTTAAACGGTTGGGGTTCTGGGTTGTGGTTTAAATTGCCCCCAAACCACGCACAAAGGGGACGCCGCACCCGAGTCTTGAGTCATAAGGCCGCAGCGAGCCGAAAACCACCCGCAAGAAGCAAAAACCCAAACTTTAAGCTCCAGGATTCTCAGCAAAGCCCCCAAACCCCTGAACCTTCAAGACCAAGTGCCCCAAACCCCTATAAACCTTAAAGACCAAGTGCACCCTCAGAAAGGCTTCGAGGCTTTCAAGCTTAGCAACTCTATGGATTTAGGGATTCGGCATCCTGGCATCTGAGGGTCCAAGTACCCAACAATCATATACCTTAACCTACCAAAACCTACTTTTTTGTAGGGTCCCTCTAAATTCCACATTAGGGTTTAGAATAACAACCTACAAAAAAGTAGGCTTAGGTAGTTTAAGATAGACCCTCCCAAATGCTAAGGTACAAAACTATAGTACAGTGTGGTAGAGAAAAAAAGTTTAGTATAGTCTACTATCCTAAACCCAAGTACCTGATCGTTAGGTCCTTAGGACCCGCTAGGCCCTACGATGGCAATCCCGCAAATCTGTACGTGCGAGCCTGCGCGATCCGTAGCAGATTGCTGCGGTCACCTGAAGTTCAACCCTAAACCCTAAAACCCTAAAACCCTAAACCCTAAACCCCCAAACCCTAAGCCCTAAAGCCCTAAACCCCAAACCCTAAAGCCCCAAACCCCAA